TGCCGTCAAAGAGATCCTCGTTTTGCCACTTTGTATTACATTTGGTGACCGACCCGTACGGCACGTAAATGTCTGAATCGCGTCTATAATTCATAAACCAGTCGATGTGATTGACGAGATTGTGGACATCGCGTCCTCCATGTTCGCCGGCTCGTGAATGTTCGGGCGATTCCCAGTTGAAGAGCACCCACTTCTGACCTCTGGCCACAGCCGCCGCAGTCTTCGCGGGCAGTCTCTGTGGATCGGTGTCCCGCCAGTGGAACAATACGGCGTCGGCCGACTCCACGAGAGATTGATCTTCGCTGAGACGACAATTAGAGAATTGACAACCGATTGACTTGTAGTCCAGATGTGACCACTCGTCCGATTGGAAGTATTTGGTCCACAATAGGATCCGGTATTGTTTGACACCCGACTGGTTGTTGAATCCATCGTTTGTGTTTATTTGTCTGGTCTTCAGGCGTTGGTCTTTGATCCGGTCGGTCATCGCTGGTAACGTCGAGATGTGATTATCCGTTACATTAAGTAAACTCCCATTCAATGTGTATAATAGAAACACAATTAATATAACGACTATTAAAATATATTTAATTGAATTCATGTCTTCAGAGTTTGAGCGCTTCCTCAGCACCTATTCTTGTGATGGGATTCAAGATATGGAAAGAGTTGTAAATAAGATTCAAATCACTGATAACTGACTGAGAAAATGAGTATTATGTTAACCAATGATGTTTTTGATCACAATTAGTGATTCAAGTGTTAACACTTATGGACTGAAAACTATTGCTATAAAGTTTATGTTTAGTTACAGTCAGTGCTCTACGAATGGCCACAAGTGCTGGAAATGAATGCATGAAAAGTGGTGTGAAATCACATTATTTTGACACCAAATATTAGGCATTGACTTCGGTATTGTCCGGTGCCGTATGAATGGACAATTGGTATACAGTAAATGGTAATGCAGTGATTGTACTGAAGGCCACTTTAATCTTATAAAGTTAGTTCAGGGGCATCACGATCCTATAAAACACATTCTTTATATATGATTGTGGTTAAAAATAAGAGTAAATAAAAACAAAAAGTATAGATGACATTCATTGAGCAAAAAAACAATGGGACGAAAACTACTGTTAAACGTGGGTCGCCTGCAATCTCCGCCATCGATATACCACTCAATCAAATTCGTACGGTTCCACCGGTTGGTCGGCTTCCGAGCGCTGTATTCATTCAATTTGCGACATAAATGACAGAAATACTTGTAATGAGTGAGTTGTGGACAATAACTCTTCTTCCACAACATATACGAGTTATACAATTGCTTATCACTTGAGACCAGTTTCAGATATTTGGCCAAATCCTCAGTAGTTTTAAAATCTTTTACATTTATAAATGAATTGTCAGGCATTATAAGCGAATAGTCGGCCGAACCGTACACTACCTGTCAATCAAATCAACAAAGTCAATTAAAAAATTAATAACAATACATAACAAAATCACAATTAACTCACAGGTATTATATCGTATGAAATGATTTTAAACAACTTTTCTGTCACATAGTCTTTACATAACTGTTAAACAAAACACAAAATTATCAATAATTTTAAAAAAAGATATTAAAAGTGAAGCAAAAAGTAAACCGAATTCTCAAATGAAAGGTAAAACTTGTATTTCTTAACGATCGCCGAAAGACAAGTTCCGTCTCGCGAACAGTATTGACCGCAATTTCCGAAGATATCGATATCGATGTGTTTGCGAAGATCGTTGACATACGTCTCGCGATTGCTAGAAGTGTGACAATTGGACACAATCCACGCCACGGAACCGCTCTTGCCGTCGAAGAGATCCTCGTTTTGCCACTTTGTATCACATTTGGTGACCGACCCGTACGGCACGTAAATGTCTGAATCGCGCCTATAATTAATAAACCAATCGATGTGATTGAAGAGATGGCGCACGTTATAGGCCGGCGAATTCTCGGGCGATTCCCAGTTGAAGAGCACCCACTTCTGACCACTGGTCACAGCCGCCGCATTCTTTG